CCTTTGAGCTCTCATTTACTACTACTAATAATACTTCACTTTTTCAAAAGAAATTCTTTTCCTATAATTCGTTTCATTTGTTGGCTTTAATTCAGTTTATTTTGCGTTCAGACACTCACACAGAATGTAGTAATCAATAGCTAAACATATAGATTCAGTTATGAAACATATTTTCGTTGCTTTCGTTAAAGGGATGCCTTTCTCTGTTTTCTCTCTATTTTCTCTAATTTTTATTCTTATGGCAAATGTTTGAATTGAAAAGAAAATCAAACAAAACAATCAAATAATAACAAGTACTAAGAATTGAATCTTTTTTGGGGATTGTATTTTCTAAGAGATAAGACGTAAAGCATTATTGTTTGTAACAAACAAAACTGCTTTTAACAATTTTTATCTTCACTTAATTTAAACTTTTAATTAGAAAAACGGTTTATTCAAGGATTTTTATATATGGGTAATCATTAAATGACAGTAAATGCATTGTAAAGTTTTTTATATAACCTTATAATTATTAAATTTAATCTCATGTTTTTAATCCCGATTGTTGTCTCATTATATAAATAAAGTGTAAACTGTATAACATCATAATATAATATATTTATATTCAATTTTTAAAATATAAAATATCCAAATGTTAAAATACTGTACAAGACATGTTCATTCAGTACTTCAAGTAATAATATTGTTATTCTATAAATATCTGGATTACTATTAATTAGTATAATTATTGCAAATATTTATTATAATATAGTGACAAACAATTTTGAACTTTCATTTAAGTTACTAACGATAAGAATAATAAATGAATACAAAAGTAATCTCTAATTCTATTAAAGTTATTATTAAAAGAGTTGAACTAATTGCTCAAAACTGATGGCTAATTGTTAACTGACTTATAGGGTGATTGAGGCTCAAGAGGTGTAATGTCTTCGTCAAGATTTCTCAATTCATGGAAATATCTCATAATTTGTTTGCGAGGACTACAACACATGCCCTCATCGAAGAATGTCGGATGAGTTGCGTTAGGAATCCACGAAAGATCCGGATTACATGTCATGTTATTCTCTATACATTGTGTTTGTATTTAAAAAAAACTCTTTAAAACTTGCATTTTAATATTGTTTAGAAACTTTAGACAAACTCAAAAACTTACTATCGATCCAGAATTCGTGCAAATGGTTCCAAACTGGTCCTAACCACCAATCATGCAATGTCTTCATGAAGTTGTTATCAAGTCTTAATTTTCTCAGAGCAGGCATTCCTGTGAAAAAATCTTTGGGAATCTCTATTATACTATTATAGCTCAAGTCTAGAGACCAAAGGTTTTCCAGTACTGGTGGAAACCAAACTCTATTGAGACGTTTAATGTTATTATTAGCCAATGATATCATTTTCAAATTAAGCCATTCGTTCATTATATTGGTATCAATTGAAGTTATTTTACATTTGATTAGTGAAATTGATATCATTTTATTATTGATCGTAGATTTGGTTTTATGAACCAATTGAATTTTAATTGTACCCAAAAACGAATTCTGACACTTCAAATAAAACACTGATAAATGATCTAATTTTTCAAAAATGGATCCAAAGTTAACATTTCCCACAATTACATCAATCAGTTTTAAGCTCTCTGATGATTTGCTCGCATCCAAGATATGAGACTTTGACAATTCATTGACATTCATATGCCTTAATTCTAAATGTTTAATATTTTCACATTTATGCAATACATCGTCAAAACACATCGCTTTTAAATTGTCTTTTGGATACTTTCTTATTTCATCGTTATTTCCATCACATATTATATCTGACTCTAAAAGAAATTTATCAAAAAATGTTTTAAAGTTTATATGAAAAATTAAAAAGGCACTTAAAATTGAAATAATTTGCACATTTATATAAATAATACTAAAATATATTATTTGATTTGATTTATTGTTATTTTGAGTCGCCATGTACTTCATATTATGAATAAATTATATAAATTTAAAATAACAATATATATTGTAAATATATTTCAATTAGATTTTTAAGTATAAATTAAAATTTAAAGTCTCTTATTTTTAAAAATTAAATTTACTTATTTTTATGATTTAAATAAATGTAATAATTTTTATAATTATACGATAATTATTTTAAGTAAATACAATAATAGCTTCATATATACTACACTATACAGTATAGTTTAAATGAAAAGTCATTCTTATAAATAAGAAATAATCTTAAAGATTAAGAAATGTAATTTTGTCAAAATTATGATTTTATATATACTGTAAGAATAAACACATTGTTACGGAAACCACGCCTTTAATTGAAATTTGTTGTATCATTATTTTTTATGATTATATTTAAAGCACGACTTTGAGCACAAAAATAAGTATTAATTTATTTGGATAGAGGAGACGGCAGACCTTTTAACATACCTTCCACTCCATGACCACCTATAATGCATTTGCAACAAGAATTGGCACAAATCGTTCGCCGAGTGGTTTGTATGCAAATCAATATAAATAATATTGTGTTTAATGTGAACACAGATCCATTCATTTTTAAAAATTTAATTTAATGCATCGCGGCTTTTCATGAATATAACTGTACTCTTAATTGAGAGTAATATATAATAAACGAGTTTTAAGTTATTATTCACAATATTTTTTACTAATTCTCTTCCTATTTATGAGAAGCCCTTAAGAAGTGTTTTGCTTCAGATCTCCTTAAATATCGTATTATACTTCAGCACATATTCACTGCGATATACAAAATTCACACAACTTTTTTATAACTCTATATCTAATTATTTTATATTTGAATCATTTGCAGAAATTATGCTCACGAGTCAGTCCCACACACTTCTGGACATTAACTTATAATTTAGATAAACAGTTAATATTTGGCTACAAATCTTTTGTATTGCACTTTAATAGGAATTTATCTTTTATTATGATAACAATAGAATGAAATAATAAAATAAAATCTTTGTTTCATAACTATTAAAGTAAATCTATAAAAATAAGTCTAGTCGAGAGTATAGCAAATATTAATTTTGAACAAAAAATTAATTACATTCTCTGTTTAGTGTCTTAATTGGTCTGAAATATTTGTGTTATTTATTGGATTCAATGGCAGATGTGATTTGAATAAATAATTCATGTTTTTGAATATTAATATTTATTGAAATACTAACGTATATATTAAGATATTCATTCATTTCAGAAACACTAGATTTTTTTTGATTGTCGATATAATTATCGCTTATTTTTAACTCATATTTTTGTTTATGATTTTAAAAATAATATTAATTCGTCATTAAATCCAAAGTCATTTGAAATAATTTTATTTTATTTTCAATAATAAAAAATTAAATAAATTGTTTTCAATTGATAGCAAATTTTTATTTGTTTGACATTACGTTACATTAAAATTCATTCTCAGACACGATTTGAAATCATTAAAAAGATAATAATTTAAATGTTAAGAAATATGCTTAAAACATGTAATCATTTTCTAGAAATATAAAAATTTGAAAAATAATACAGTATAACAAAAATCATGTAAAATTCTCAAATATTTTTTAAATGTAATTTGTTGGCACTTTTCATTTAAATTCTTTTATTGTTTAAAATAACTATAAATTAATATTTAAACATATAATAAACCGTATACAATATACTAATGTAATGATTGCCATAAATCCTGTCACACATTGAATCCATGGACTCATTTGATGACATTAAATATCAAGTATTTAATCAAGGTATTTAAAGTTGGTACCATATTATGGTTAAGTCGAGGGTTTCTAATTTTTACCGATTATATTTGCATGAAAACGTTTAATATTTATTGTAAAAATATTAATAATTTTATTGCTAATTAAAAGTATGAACTGAATATTGCAAAGAGGTGACGTTGTTAACATAAGTAAACGTGCAATGTAACTTATTAAAAATATAAGAAAATTGTTTTTATAATGATAAATAACAAGTCACTGAAAGTCGATCCTTTGTATTATAATAAGTTATTAATAACAATTAAAATAATATTTAATTAAAATATTTGTCTCAAATGTCAATTATTAATTTGTCAATTAATCTGACAATTAAATATTATTTTTTGGTTTACTCAAATTCACAATACATGTTTAAAACATTCAAATAAATAAACGGCTAATTTAACAGTGAACAGTAAAAATTTTATATTGTATTTACAGTTATGGAGCGAAAGTGTTTAGATTTAAGAACAATAGAAACTTAATTAAAATAAATGTTTTCATAATATAAATGGAAACTCGAGAACATTTATGGCAAACATTATTCATAGCAATCATTAATGGTTTCATAGAATGTCGTAATAATAATAGTTGTAAAACAAGATTCACATAAGAATTTTAGTTGAATATGAAATACAAAAACAGATTAAAGAATGATTGACAGCTTATCAGCAAAATATAGTGGCATTAAAAACAGATTCCCATAGCGTTCACAAACTATTCATATCTTGATATTGACTTAAATAAAAAGTTTTGGAGCAAACAATCCATAAAAATAACAAATGCATGGATAAGTTGCTGTCTTATAGGGATGTATTGCTCGCAGATTCTGACGAAATGGTCGACACACTGGTGGAGGTCGGGGTGACTGATGGGGTTGGGGTTGAATTGTGGTAATTATGTTGATTGTATGGCACAAGACTTGACAGCGAATACAACTTATCGTAATCACTGACTTCAACATTAGTGATGTGTTGGAAAAGACAGGGCGAAGAGATATCACATTTTTTGGGTAACTTATAAATGGGTGAATTGCTTGCACTCAAAGCCAATTGTTTTTTCAAGAATTTTAACTTTTTGTTTGATTTTTTAGGACCCGTGAGGGCTATGTTGAGGGGATCGGCAGTTAATATCTCGATTTGTTCATTGAATTGATTGGCGGCTAAGGGAGAGTCAAAGCTAAGTCCAGCCATTTT